GAATTCCCTGGCAGTCCAGGGGTTAGGACTCTGTGCTTTCGCTAGGTTCAGTCCTTGGTCTTAAGATCCCACAAACTGTGTGGCAGGGCCAAAAAAAAAAACACCAACAAAACTTCACTGTACTGGGCAATTACTAAGACAGTCCTAACATTTTAAAGGGGCAGTGAAGATTGACAGGTGATCGTATCCATTATTTGTAAGGTAAATTGGGTCCATTTAGCTGGTCCAGTTTGAGTGCACCTTAGGGCCCAGGGATTTATCACCTAAAGTCTACAGAGCCTCAGGTCCTCCTTAGGTGAGCTGCAGGGGGATCATGAACATCAAAGTATAGCAAATGTCATGTGCATAGGTCTGTATCCTTGAATCAGAAAGGCATCAGAAAGGCAAAGAATTCTGTGCCCCCAGAAGGTTAAGAATGTCTTTTGTTCAGTTTCACTGCTGAACAAGACTGTGGGTTGGATACAATGGTGTTTTCAAAACACTTGGAGATAATAACACCCACGTGTGTATTGCTGAACTTCTTCAGCCACATGGAGTATCCAATTCCAGAATAATTTCTCCTGTACTTTCCTCTAGTATTGTTAGATCTATTAGAAATCGAGTGTAATCCTACATCTGTTTCAAATTACTCTCACTAATTTATGTTACAAATGATCTTGAGAGCCCTGGGAATCTCAGGTGTAATCCTGATCTGCTGTTGATTTCATATTCCCGTGTGTGTAAATATTTGCTGTATTCTTTCATTTCCTCATCTTTAGTGGAACAGAACAGTTAACACAGTTCACAGGGGAAAAATGTAATTTTAATATAAGTGATGTTATATTTCTAGCCAGTGATAAATGGAAATTTTGTGAGTAAATGCTATTATGCAATATTGTTTCTGCTTACTTATATGTCTGATATCAATTTAAAGGATAAATGATCATAGTTGGTATTTAGAACAAGAGAAAGATGGGGGAAAATGGCAAGCAAAAATTTGGGGGGGCCTCCCTGGTGGCGCAGTGGTTGAGAGTCCTCCTGCCGATGCAGGGGACACGGGTTCGTGCCCGGGTCCGGGAAGATCCCACATGCCGCAGAGCGGCTGGGCCCGTAAGCCATGGCCACTGAGCCTGCGTGTCTGGAGCCTGTGCTCCTCAACGGGAGAGGCCACAACAATGAGAGGCCCGCGTACCGCAAAAAAAAAAAAATTTTGGAGAGTAGACTTTTGCCTAAATTTATACTTTGTTTCCTTTCGAGGTTTATCATTCTTCTATTGCAAAAGAATACACGTGTGCAGTGGTATTTTATTGTCTGATAGAGATTTCTTATGAATGAAAATAAGTGCTGTCCAACCATGATACTTAAAATGACTGAGGGATTATAAACCAATACTGAATCAAAGAGCTCACCTTTATCTTTTAAGTATGCGTGATCTAAGCAAGTCATTCTCACATGTAAGCAGATAAGTATTAGCTGGAGAATTTGTTGAAGTGCATATCCCTGAGACCTCCCCCTACAAAGATTTTGATTCACTAGTTCTGGAGTCTATGGTTTTAACACATGACACAGGTGATTTGATATTTTACCAAAGCTGATCTGGGTGCTAAGATTCTACACAGGAATAGCTATAATATAATAATATTACTTTTAATATAAGAGAAGCCATGATGATTGTGGAGAGCTGGAGGAGACATGGAAGTATCAACAAGTATCAACAAATGACATGGAATAAGTTTGCACCCTCAAATTATTGAGAACCCCAAAGAGTTTTTGTATGTGTGTGTTTTATCTATTGATACTTGCTGTATTAAAAATTAAAATTGAGATTTAAAATATTAAATTCTTTAAAATAATAAACCCATTACCTGTTAACTTAAATAATATTTTTATTTGGAAAAAAAAAACTATTTCCAAAATAAAAAATTTAGTAAGAGGAGTGGCATTATTTTACATTTATGCAAATCTCTTTACTGTCCAAACTAATAGAAGACAGCCAGATGCTCATCTGCTTCTGTGTTCAGTCTGTTGCAATGTTATTTTGGTTGAAATATATGAAGAAGATGCAGCCTCACAGAAAATGGAGGGGTATTTTAATACCTTTTTTGATATTATATCAAAACTCTACAAGTCATAGTTTCTTAAAGGTTAGTTGCAATGTGGAATTTGAAATCATATCATTGAACTTTTTTTTTGATATATTAAAATCCATTGGTCTGTCCTGCACTTTCAATGGATCTTTTACCCATGCACGATTTAAAAAAAAATTATTTAATTAATTTATTTATGGCTGTGTTGGGTCTTTGTTGCTGTGCGTGGGCTTTCTGTAGTTGTGGTGCGCAGGGGCTACTCTTTCATTGTGGCGCACAGGCTTCTCATTGTGGTGGCTTCTCTTGTTGCGGAGCACGGGCTCTAGGTGTGTGGTCTTCAGTAGTTGTGGCATGTGGGCTCAGTAGTTGTAGCTCATGGGCTCTAGAGCACAGGCTCGGTAGTTGTGGCACACGGGCTTAGTTGCTCCGCGGCATGTGGGATCTTTCTGGACCACAGCTCAAACACGTGTCCCCTGCACTGGCAGGCGGATTCTTAACCACTGTGCCACCAGGGAAGCCCCACAATTTTGTACTGTTTAGAAAATTTTGGTCACTGAGTTACACAGGTCTTCTTTTTTAAAAAATTTAATTAATTAATTAATTAAGTTTTGGTTGCATTGGGTCTTCGTTGCTGTGCACGGGCTTTTTCTAGTAGTGGCGAGCGGGGGCTACTCTGTTGTGGTGTGCTGGCTTCTGTGGTGGCATCTCTTGTTGTGGAGCATAGGCTCTAGGCGTGTGGGCTTCAGTAGCTGTGGCTCACAGGCTTAGTCAGTAGTTGTGGCTCACGGGCTCTAGAGCGTGGTCTCAGTAGTTGTTGCTCGCAGGCTTTAGAGTGCAGGTTCAGTAGTTGTGGCGCATGGGCTTAGTTGCTCCGTGGCATGTCTGATCTTTGTGGACCAGGGCTCGAACCCGTGTCCCCTGCCTTGGCAGGCAGATTCTTAACCACTGTGCCACCAGGGAAGTCCGTACGTAGGTCTTCTAAAACCACATTTATTACTGTCCTTACCTCATCGGGAAAGTCTTTTAAGTATTGGGAAGCTGACAGGCTTGCAGTGGCAGATGTCGTTTTCCAAAATGCTTGAAAACTCAAATTTTATCATTGGCAATAAATACTGTCAGTTGTTTTCCTTGAAGAATCAGACTCACTTTGTTCATTTTTGAGAAAATGATTACCAAATACCCAAGTCAGAATAACCACAGTTCCTCAATTGTTCTTTCAATTGTTCGTCAATTGTTCTTTCAATTTTTTTTCATGGACTACCATTTCTAAAGAAATGGTAGTCCATGAAAAAAAACAGCTATTTCAGCTTGCAACTCAATTATACAAGTACTTTTCTTCTAGACAACCACTGTACTTCACTCTGCAGCAGCAGAGTGCTTCATGTGGACTTCCCATTTTGTCACAAAGAACATTAAAATGACCTGTACTCAAGGGTCAAGATTTAAGAAAAGTAGTAATTCCTACTGCTCGCTTCATTAAGGACATGTGTAAAGAAAACTGACCTTTTTTTCTTTTTTAAACTGCTAATGAGTGAAGAGCCACTGCCTTGATTAGTGCTAAGGTGCCAGCAGTTTCCCCACAATTGCTTTTGCATCATCAGTGCAAATGTCAGCACAGTGAAAAAGACAAATAATGTCTTTGTGTTATTCTAAAAATAGCTTGACCTCTGAGAAGGTCCTGGGGACTCCCAGGAGACCACGAATCACACTTTGAGACCCACCATAGAGATGCTTTGGGCCTTCCACCCGCCAGCCCCCACCCCCCAGCTTTGCAGTTTTTGTGCAGATGTCAACATGTCTATCCATGGCTCCTTAGCAGTACAATGTGGAGTATCTCTTTGTGAGATGGTGTCACTGTCATGATTCTAGGTAGAATGGGGAGTCCACGGGGCCAGCATTCACTCCATTTAGAGTTTGCAGCTCCTACAGTGTGCTGCTGGTCCGCATGAGACGCTGAAGCCCAACCTCTCTCCTCCTCAACGACGTTTTTCCCTGCTTAGCTTTAGGCACAGTTTAAATTTTAAATGCCTTCCCTGGCCCCCTTAGTAGGACACGGTTTCGTTTGTACTTAGTGTTGGATATATTGTTGGCTTGCACACTCAGTCATTTTCTAAAAATTTGTCAGTTCCTTAATTACTTAAGTACCATCTGAGTTGCTGTTTCCTTTTTATCTGAATGTTGTCCAATAAGAGGGCGTTTTTTAAAAAAAAGACGGCGCTTTGTACATATTTGTTTCAATGTAACGAAATCAAAACTGAAAGCTAACAAAGTCAAACAAGTGTGCGTTAGTTGCACATTTCCTGACTGCAAGCATTGGCACAATCAAACATAGCGAACGTGTTTTACTGCTGTGGTTTTATTCCTTGTTCACTTCAGCCTCTTGGGACCCAATATTCAACAAATATTCAAATTGGGGCTGGAGTTCCGGGTACTGCGTGTTCTGGCAGTGTGTGTTTGTACACTGTTAAAACCTGACAAGAGAGCGGTAGCCAGGAGCCTGCAGGCGGGGCTCCGCCGCGGTCGAGCCAGCTGGGCTGCGTCGGTGCTCAGGCTCTGCGCCCCCGCCCGGCGCAGCCTCGGGCTGGGCCGGTGGAGCGCCGTGCCCTTTTAAGGAGGCGGACCGTACCACCAGAACTTTGTTGAAGGGGGTGTCCAGGCGAACTCGGACAACTTTAACAGAGCCGAAGGACGATTTCCTTTACCTTCTGACGCGGGCCGGAGTTCTAGTGCTGCTTGGCGGGAGCTGTGCGTTGGTGGGCTTTGCGCGAAGGGAGCCCTTCTGTTTCCCTTCTACGGAATCGCCCGGAGGGATCTCACTCGGTCTGAATTCAGACGCGAAGCTCCCCCGGGCAGGTCCAGAGTGTAGTTTGCCTGCAGAGGCCCCAGTGCCCGGATGTCCATCAGGATTAGCGCGAGCCAATACGCTCGGAGCCCGAGGCTGCGCTGAGGACGCCCGGGCTCGGGAGCAGGTAGTCCGGTAAAATCGGGTAGTCGCGCTGGGGAATCGTCCCCGCCCGGCCCCGGCAAATGGTGAGCGCGGCGCTGGCAGAAGGGCCGCGGGTTGAAGGCTCTGATGGACAGGAGACCTTGAGCTCTATAAACTGAATTATGGCAGCCCAGTCAAGGTAAGGCAGGCACCGAGAGAAACTTTTAAAATATGTTAGTGGCTAGGAGAATTGAAGGTTGCAAGGGACGGGTTGGGGTGCTGCGAAGAGGACGAGCAGGAAGCAGCTTTGTCATTGCTTTCTCATCATTCCTGATGCTGTGGTTCTTTATTTATGTCAGATAAATAACAGTTTGGAGAACATACTAGACAATTTCTGCAGAGAGGAGGGGGTTGAGTTAAAGTTAAGATTAAAGTTAAATTTCTTTTCCAAAAATAATTATTTTCAGAAAAATAAAGTTGATTTAACTTGTCTGCCTTTGCCCAAATTGTCCTTTAGTTTCTTTGTGCACCTCCTTCTGGTTCTCCTGATTTTTTTTTCCCCCCTCTCCGCTAATGCCTTGAGCAGAATTTTAGAAATCGATTAATGTGAAACAGTTCGCCTTGGGGGAGGTGGCTGAGAATTTGCCTGGTAAGTGACTGGAAATTTTACTGCCAGAATGTACGATTGCACATAAAACGGCACAGCTTGCGTGAATCTGCTGAGTAGGCAAAGACCAGGAATGTATCGGGCTTGGTGAAGGGGAGAGGATAATGAACTGCAGTTGCTGTCAGAGGAACGCTATTGTAAGAACCTCCAGCCCTGACTTTCCATGGTTTGTTACTTTTTTTGTAATGAGGCTTTAAGAGTGATGACAAGGCATTAGTGATTTTTATGAAATTCAAACTGTTGTGTATGATTTCATTTTAGTTGTGACAGCCGTTGGTGCTAAAGGAAGCCTACAATTTAGATATACATTCTTTTTAAACTTTCAGTTTTACTGGAAAGTACTTTGGTGTCGCATTTAAATTAATGAGAGCTCCTCAAGTTGCTTTTTGATGTAATATAGTGATTTTGGGGAAATCTTATAAGGCTAAACACATTTCAAGTCTGAAGACCCAGATAGGTCACTCAAAGAAATAGATGCTTTAAGCTTAAAGTTTGGGCTTGATGAGACTTTGAAAATTTTTTCCTAAGAGATAGAACTTTCTAGGAAGAAAAAGAACTTCACTATATAGAGTGCCTCTATGTGCTTTGTATATTTAATCCTCTAGACTCAGTGGTTTATCCCCTGCCCCCATTTTATTGGCTGTTCTAAGAGAGAGGTTCTTAACTTGAGGCCATGTAGTAGGAAAACTTGGATGAGAAACGAAAGTTGCATCTTTATTTATGCTAACCTTGACTGAAATTTAACTGCCAAAAGGGCCCATGGCATCAAAACCTTAGATTAAGACACTGTGATCTAAGAAATTAAATGGTATCTAACAGAGCTCAATAATAGAAAGCTGGGATTTGAACTCAGGTGTGAGTGATTTCAATGTCTGAACCCTTAAATTAATTAAGAATAAAATGAGGTAATAGCTAAATTGGACACTGCTGTGTGCCAGGCACAGCAACTGTAATTGGATTACCTCTTTGACTCTTCTCCGTCACTTAAATACGTCACTTAAATAGGTAAGTACTTGTATTTTTTCACATTTGTTCAGGAAACTGAGGCTCAGCCAGTCTGTTTCTTGCTTGAGGTCACACAGGTAGAGCAGTGCCTGCCTGACTTCTGAGTTGCCCTGCAGCATTTCCTTACTTCCAGGCTGCCTCTTTAATGCTGAGATGAGGTGTTGAAAGGGAGCTGCAACGCCTCAGTCTAAATGCGCAAAAAGCAATTTCTGCTAAAAGTACTTTGCTACAAGATGTAAAAATCCGAGTTATCAGTATGGTAGTTCAATTTGCTAGTAATTGAAATAGGAGGACTGTACATATTCTGCTTTTGTGCCTGGCCTTCAGATGTGCCCTTGAACTAGGAACAAAGCCACGATGTCTTTTTTTTTTTTTAATTTTTTGGCCTCACTGCATGGCACCTGGGAACTTAGCTCCCTCACCAGGGATTGAACCTGTGCCCCCTGCATTGGAAGTGCAGAGTCTTAATGAGTGGACTGCCAGGGAAGTCCCCAAGGCCATGCTGTCTTGCTATTTTCTTAGTCTGCATCATGGGAGTGTATCTCTCAAGTGGTAAATGTGCATTTTTTCACTTATAGCTGGAATGTGGTCCAAGCTCACTTAGACATTGTGTTTATGGGAGAATAGGTAATCTTTGAGATCCCGAGAGAGAATATATGGAGAAAATTGCAGGTATTTTTGGATTTCAGGAAACCCCAAAGCTGGGCCACTCTGCCTGCGTAGTGCTAAGAGAAATGCAGCCATCATCTGTGATGTATAATCTGGGTTAGTAAAATCTTGCCTGTGTGTCAGCATCTGTTTGCTTTTGAAACAATTAATTTAGATTCTTGGACTCATTGGATCTGAATATTCATAGCATTCATAGCTCAGTTCTAACCATTGTGCACTGTTTAAATAATTAGGTGTGGGATTTTTTTGTTTGTTTTTGAGTAGAAGAGATAGATGGAAACTTAGACGAAACTGAATTTTGTAGCACTGATAGTGAATAAATGAGCTGACCATGGCACTGTTCTCTTATTATTTGTTATTGTTATAAGGTAATAGTCTTCACTTGATGTTGATGGATGGTGCATGACTAATTTTTCATGTGTATTTCTTCTCTCTAGTCGGCTCCTTAACACATTGTCTCACATTTTTAGTATTCCTTGCATAGGCTAGAAGTACTTTGAATGAGGGAGGGACTGCTTAAATCTCTAGGCTTGTGAATTTCCATAAATTGAGGTTGCATATTCCTCTCCATTTTGAAACCTAAAAGTAGGAAATTGATTATTTTGTTTTGCTTTGTGGTTGATTTCTTCTGCTAGATATGGAAGACATTTATTGAATGAACGGTCAATTCCCTAAGTTTTAAAAATTAGATTTTGGGTCAGTATTTTGAGAACATTAAATATCTGCTTTGCCTTTTCAGAATTCTGGAGAAAGGCAGTCATTTAGAAGTGCAACATCAGTTAAAGCAGGGCATATTCTATGCCTCCCCTCTCAGATCAGTGTGTGCTTCCTTTGGAATCTATAAGCACAACAGATACATTGACTAGGCTTCCTTGCTTTAAGGTGAAATAGTTACAGTTCATGGCTTTAGTTTCCAAATTCTGATCTAAAGCACTTGGAGACTGTGCTTTTATAGGAGTATACAGCCTGGCGCACACTCTTTTGAGGACTGGTAAACCTATGCTGGGTAGGGGTGGGCATGGAATCCCATCAGTTTGTAGATCTATCCTTTTCTATGAGGGTTAGCTTGCCTTATATTGAGGAGTGTGTTGATGGATAAAAGAGAAGGGAGGGCTTTGGTTCTCCATCTCTGCTAACCCCTTCATTGAAGCAATCCCTGAATTTTAGAAAGGAATACATACATCTCTTCAACTACCGTCAGGGATTAATCGGTTTTAAATGCACCTTGTGCTACTGGAGAAGCCCTGGCCTATCTCCTCCCAGGGTGTGTGTGTGTAGCAGGGGGAGGGTGCATGAATGAGAGTTGGGGGAGTTGAACTTGCTTCTTTAGAAGAGTAGCTTCTGGTGGCTGAGAACGTCTCAAAAGCTCTTTCACACAAACTGCAGAAGGAAATTAAGTTTAGGTAGCTCTCCCACAGGTTTTTGTTTGTTTGAATTTGACTAAAGTTAATGATGTTAAAAAAAAATAATAGAGGAAAGTTAGATTGTTCCCAAGATTATTATGAAGCCGGTTTTTGGTGGATCTCTGACTCTGGTGGGGGAAATTTTCTACAGCAAAAAGCAATGCTCTTAAACTGGTATGGAACCAGTTTTGCTCCGTCCTCTGTCCCCACCCCCAGTTTATGAGCTTTGTAAAGATTACCTTGGAAGAAAATTCATGAAAGCAAAAAAGCTCTGATTTAATATGAGCAAATATCAAAGAAGAATGCTTGATGTTTTGGAAAGTGCAGTTCAAGGAAGTGATTTCAAGAGGGAAATAATTTATGCAGTATTTTGACCCAGTGAATGTCTTCATTTTTTTCCTTAAGACACCATTGTAAACTGTGTCCTTGACAGAAGAGGTTTCTTAAATGATTTCCTTCTAGTTCATCCTGAGAGCCCCGCTGAGCTTCCTGACTCAGACTAGAGGTTCTTCCATGATGAAGATGGAAGGAGGATTGAGTCATTTTTTTTATTCAGCTGGTTTATGGGCATCTTCTTTGGCCAAAAAAAAATAAAAAAATTAACACAAGTGGTTTCTCAAGAGAGGGGATTCTATACTATACCATGAAAAAGTATTCAATAGCTGGTTCTATACTGTTTTGAAAATGGAATTTAGTGAATGCTGCACCTAAGCAACTTAAATGTCAAATATACTAATTATCTTAATCATGGATAAGAGAGAAATCTCTCTCATCTGGGTACTGTCACTTATTTGTTTTGAGCATCCAAATCTATGTATTACTTAATAGCTGTAAAATGGAGGAATTATAAAGCTGGTTTGCTTCATTACAGCTTTGAGGTATAACATACAACTTGATTGCTTCTAATATATAAACTTAGTTTTCTGTTAGCAAATTTCTCTATTTTGTTTGCTTTCCAAGATAGGAAAATAAACTTATTTCCAAAATCTGTCTTCTGAAAGGGCAAGTCCTGTATGTGAGATGTGGTGAGGAGGACTACAGGCAACAGTGTATTCTGACTTTACTTCCGTACTACTTGGAAATACAGCCTGCACCTTTAGGACAGTGTTTCTTGGCTCAGAAGTACAAACATAGCAAGCTTGGGTATCATAATCTCTTTGTTGTGGTTCAGTTACATTTTATTGATATGGGGTGGGTGCATAACTTTTACAGCTTAAATGATTACCTGTCCTTTTTACTTAAGTTAAAAAAGAATTGAAAGCTAAAGTTTTAGTATTTTAGTTCTGCTTCTGATTGTTCTTCATGCATTTTAATATGAACATAACCTGTATTCATTTGCTCAAAATAATACAGCAACTAGAATGCAAAGTAATGTCTTGCTCAAATATATATGTACCAGATGAAGTTTAGCTTTAGGCCTTTGGTGGAGGGGGGGGAGAATAAGATTTATAACTT